TGTGCTTTGAGGAAATTTATCCACAGATAGGGCAAGATCTTAAACTGGGATATGCCAATAAATTGTTATTTATTATTATCATTATAAACAGTCAATTTTTTAATCTTGTGTATGCTTGGAGAATCTCCAGCTCTTGTAATTTTCAGTTAGGATAACTCGAAAAAAAATAATAAAAAATTGATGTATAAAAATGAAACCATATGTTTTATGTTAAATGAATAATAAACAAACTGTTATTATAAGTGCTCTCATGGAAAACAAATCATTAAGGATTCATATTGCAACCATTCTGCAGATTTCGCTCATGAAAGATAAATCTAAAAGCTATGTTTTTTTTTGTGAGAATGCTGCACTAATATTTAATGAGAAATTTCAATAAAACTCTGATTTTCCAGTTACAGTAGGAAATTGAAGAAATCAGAAATAGTTCGTAATGACGCTTTGGTTTAGAAATTGTGATCGGGAATTCTCGTGCTACAGATCTAATAGTTTTTCAAATTAAGTCGAATTTGAGATTATATGAAGGCCATATAAAAAAAGGATGAAGTTATGGAGAAATGGAATCAGAAACATAACAGTGGCTAGCCGTGAGAAGTACCTCGAAAGATCCCCGACAAACAAGTAGCTGGTGCACTAAAAAGTCCCTTAAAGAGACGCTTCAAGCTGTTTGTATTCATTAAGCAAACATCAGCAATCTTGGTCTAATAAGTTTGAATAAGGAGTTGCAGTTGCTGAGAACTGACGAGGAAAGGGTCCCAACTGTCCAATCGCTTTTGAGCCGAGACTATGTGCATTATGTAGATCCAAATGAGTTATGAATACCCTGAAAAAAGTTCGGGCCGCTAGCCTATTGCTACGGAGATAGTGTACTTTTACAGTATTCTTTAAAAATGAATGCTGTGGTCCCCTCAGGGACACCAGAAAAACTGATTTTTGAATTTCGACTTGAAACTTTGGATACAAACAGACCTTAATCAGAATAGTTTATTCTGAATGTTTCTAAGATTTTTTCATCTGCTTCTGTCCTAAAATAAGAACATCAAATCTGCCAGTTTATAAAGACAAGTTATTCATAACTGTATCCTAGGATAGAAAGGGCGAAAAAATCTGAAATATTCACAGCAAACTATTCTCATTAAGGTCTGTCTCTATCCAAAGTTTCAAGTCAAAATTCGAAAATCAGTTTCTGTATTCCTGAGGGAAACCACGGCATTTATTTAAAAATACTGTAAAAGTGCACTATCTCCGTAGGAAAAAGCTAGCGGCCCGAACTGTTTTCAGGGTATTCATAACTCATTTGGGTCTACATAATGCACATAGTCTCGGCTCAAAAGCGATTGGACAGTTGGTGCCCTTCCCTCGTGAGATTTGGGAATTCTTCCAATTCCTAAAAGCACCAGCTAAAAGTGACAAATCCCCCAATGAACTGAGAATTGACCCTCAAACACCTCACAAAACCTTGTCAGTTCCCCATTGATTTCTCCTGATGACTAAATCTCAACTGAATATGACACCAGTTCCCAACCTTGATAACTTTTCATCTCCTCAATTCCTCCAGTGAAAATCGACTACTGACAATCCTTCAGACAAGGGCCCGAAGAAATAACTCCTACTGACCGTCAATATCCATCGGGAGACCTGACACTGATATTAGCCATCATCATTTAAATCCCATAATAAGGATCCTGACCAAGAGAATTGCCAAAAACGTCAATGGACACGCCGGGAAACTGAGAAATTATGATAGTTCTGCTGACAGTTCCTAGGAATTGAGGTAGAAACCTATAAGGTAGCTATTCTCAATTTGCCGGAAAATTGAGGAACTGATGTAATATACATTAGAAACAACAGCTATCCCAGATAGCAAAAAAGGCCAGGAAGCTGGCGGTAGGTACCTTCTAAGTTTCTACCTAAATTCCTAGAAACTGTCAGCAGAACTGTCATCATTCCTCATTTCCCCGATGTGTTCTTGGACGTTTTTGCCAATTCTCCTGGCCAGGATCCTTACTATGGGATTTAAATGATGATGGCTAATGTCAGTATCAGGTTCCTCGATGGATATTGACGGTCAGTAGTGGTTATTTCTTCGGGTCCTTGTCTGAGGGATTGGTAGTGGTCGATTTCCGCGGGATAAATTAAGAAAATGAAAAGTTATCAAGGTTGGGAACTGGTGTCATATTCAATTGAGATTTACTCATCAGGATGAATCGAAGGGGAAAGTGACAAGGTTTTGTGAGGGTTTGAGGGTCAGTTCTCAGTTGCTCGTGGGATTTGTCACTTTTAGCTGGTGTTTTTAGGAATTGGGAGAATTCCCAAACCTCACTTCTTGGGCGCTTCTCTTTTATTCCTAGTGAAAATCATAAACAGTCAAAATTTCCAAAAATCCTTGAACTACGATGCATCGTAGATCGAAAATATATTTTTATATGAATAATATTCGATTAAGAGGATAATAGTATTTATCGTTCTGACTGTTTATAGTATTTTATTTTTCCCACGTGTAGAAATAATGCGTTCTCTCTTCTATCATATGAAAAACAAAAATATTATTTGATAATTTCAGGTATAAACACTAACGAAAAAGCAAAAATCAGAATGCGTACAAATACAAACAACGTTTGATTGGTAAGTGTTCGTATATTTACGATATGAAACAATATAAATCTGGCCTTGGAAGAAAAACATGGAGCCCATGGGAACCATTGGGACTCGTAATGGGCGTTGGTATTGTTGTTTCTCTAATTTTCATAGGTTTAGCACTAGGTTTAGGTTTGGGTATTGGATTACACAATCGTAGTGAAAATGGGATCGTGATTGTATCCCAAAACACAACAACAACGATAACAACAAATACAACAGCATCAACAACACAAGCAATAAGCACTATAGCAACATCAATAATACCAACACTAAGAACACCAATATCAGCACCAACACCAACAGTCACAACCAAGAGACTCATAACTATAACAAGAAGACGAACAACTATAACAAAGGGCCTCTTAATCACAACAAGAAGACCCCTAACTACAATAAGAATACGAACAACTACAAGAAGGAGACCCATAACTACAATAAGAAGACGAACAACTACAAGAAGGAGACCCATAACTACGACAAGAAGACCCATAACTGCAACAAGAAGACCCATAACTACAACAAGAAGACGCACTACTACAAGGAGACGAACAACTACAAGAAGGAGACCCCTAACTACAACAAGGAGACGAACTACAACAAGAAGACGAACAACTACAAGAAGACCCATAACTACAACAAGAAGACGCACAACAACAAGACGACCCATAACTACAACAAGAAGACGCACAACAACA